TTCAGAAGAAATCCGGACACCTGAGAACGGCGAATCTTTCCTGCACTCCTCCATGACCGTATCTATTAAGAAGTTGTAGGGGGACATGTATGTATCTGAAGAACAGATCTCTGGAGACAGTGCAACAGGTGAACCACATTCCCTAAGTTTTAAAAGCAAACCAATCTTGACTGATTCAGCTCTAAGATCAGCAGGGACTGGCAAAATTCCCTTTAGTTTTACTCATGATAGTCCATGAGTAGCAGTCCATTGGATTTGTATTGTGAGATAATACTACCATCCTAAATTGCATCTAGATGGTCTTATTGAACACCTCATCTTGAAAAAGCCTGTTGCAACCATGAACAAATATAAAGTTTACTAGTGCAGAATTGAAAAAAATACAAGCACACCTGACTGGGCAACACTTGCCACTGAATGGAATCCAAGGAAATATAGAGGCACCCTAGAAGAAAAAGAAAAACTGTTGATCAGGTAAGAAAGTTACACACCTTGTTAAAATATAGCAGAGGTAGTCAATATAGCCATGGGGGGAGGCAAAAATCCCATAGAAGAGGAAATTGCCAGATCATGAAGGTAATGAGATAGGAAAGTGTTGAGAGAAGTCCACATACCGGCCTGCAAAATATCCCCAGAGAAAAGTTCAGATGAGCGGACAATGACATTAATAGATGCCGAATCTGGTAAGAAATGATGTGGAGTATATTCCGATCTACAATAGATAACCCCGAATAGACTATAGAAATCAACTCCCAAAGTCCCCCTGGTTAAAGTAATGGGTGATAAATCCAGGGACACTGCAGGATCCCACTATATAAAAAACCAGCGCATAGTGCCTCTGAACAGTTCTGTACAAGCCACAGAACATAATAGGTGCTCTGACTGGACACAAGAGATCTGGGTATGATAGACTGTAAAGATGAGAAATGCCTAGGAAAGGAATAGGAAAAAAATAATATATTCTCTTTTCTGTCAGTGAGAGTGTTCAGTAGGAAGGATCTGTCTGGATAGAACAAAAACTAGGTGGAAGGATAGAGAGTCTGCTGAACATGGATGGCAAATAAATCAGAACAGCTGCATTCGGAAAGTGACAACAATAGAAATATGCTATGAGGGAAAGGTGATACAAAGAACAGGGGGCCATAGGTTTGAAGGGATAATGTGATAACAAATGAAAAACAACTCTAAAGTCCCAATTAGGCAACTGAAATTGTCATTTGGGATGAAGAATATGAAAGGATCAGAAAATGAGATAGCACAGGAGTCAAAAACCCTGGTATACATAGAAGAATGAAAGGGAACAGCAAAGGATGTTGTATATAATGCAAGGTAGAAGCCAAACCTTTCAAAAATCCATGTCAGAAAACTTGAAATTAAGGAGACTGTTGGATGAAGTGGGTTGAAGGCTCACTGAAGACACCACTGAGAATATGTAGTCCATTTCCAACAACAGATTGCCATAGCAGGTTGATGAAGGATATAGTCAAACATAATAGAAACTGTAGAATTTAAACCCCTATAAATGGGCAAAGGACTGCATAACTTCCAAGCATGAAGTTGGAGTCATTAAATGTTGGACTGAAGTTGTCTCAACAAGGATGAATGAAGAGGTAGTGGTAAACATTCCTGGAGCAACTGAAGAGGAAACCATGTCTGAGCAGGCCAAAAAGGTGCTGACAAGAGAACTCAACATGGGGTGAAATGAATCATAGACAAGAGTCAGGGTAAGAGATGAATAGGAGGAAAGGTATACAAACAGAATCCTATCCAGTCTTGACTGAAAGCATCTATCACCAGAGCTTGTGGATGTGGAATAGGAGACCAGAACTGTAAGCTAAATCCCAATGGGTTGCAAAGGTGTCAATCATTGGAGAGCTGAACCGAGAACAAATCCATTGAAAGACCATCTAATGGAACATCCATGCTGGTGGAAAAATCTGATGGGGTCAAGAAAGGTGATTATTATAGAAATATATGTTATCATTTTATATCCTTAGTATTGGTTCGATAAAACAACTCTCATTCTAGAAACTCTTCGTATTTTCCATGTGATATATATATTATGTTTTTGTATATCAAAACTACATTTTACATAACAAAATCAAATTAATAATTTGAAGTAAATTTATCAATAACATACCACAAAATTTAATATCAAACAACCTGTTGGTTCATCTAGGCTATCCCATCCACTAAACTAAACTTTAAAAAAAAATTTCAAAGCTTGTCCTTATTATTAAAATACTTATAAAGCCTTCCTTTAAACTCACATAAATTTAACGTATCCACTACATCTGAAGGCAACCTATTCCAAAGGCCAACAGCCCTGTTGGAAAAATTATCTTAGCTGAAATCTACTACCCTCCTAAAATTTATATTTGGGTCCCCTAGTCCTATCATTCTCACTATTAAGTATGAAAAAAGATGATGCATCAGTACTATCAATCCCAGTAACAACATCAAACATCTCAATCAATTCCCTTCAAATTATTCTTCTTTTGAGATAAAACAATTTCAGAAATTTATTAATGTGTCCTCGTATGTCAACCTTCCCATCCCAGGTATCATCCTAGTAGCCATACTTTTAACCCTATCCAACAATTCAATATCTTTCCTTATGTAAGAAGCCCAAGACTGAACAAAATAATACAAATTTGGTCTAACTAGTGACCTATACAATGAAATTATAATCTACTTGGACTTATACTCAATATCTCTTTAAATACTACCTAAAATCCTATTTGATCTATCAATAGTAACAGCACACTGCTTGGATGGCATAAGAGACTGATCAACCAAAATATTAAGATCCTTTTTCTTCCAAAACAATGTTCAAGTTATTCCCATCAAAATTATACTTACAATTTAAATAATGATAACCCACATGTATTATCTTCAATCTCTTATAATTAAAAACAATCTGCCATTTATTTGCCTAACTCACCAAATGATCTAAATCCTTTTCTAAAGCAGGAGCATCCAACTCATAGCCAGAAACACCCAAATCTTTAATATCATTAACACATTTAAATAATTTGTTAACCATTCTTATGTTACTGATATAAAACAAACAAACAATGGTCTTAACCCTGGGCCTTGAGGTATCCCACATATGACATTAATACAGTTTGACCTAACTCCACTTATAAAAACCCTCTGCTTCCTTCCATCCAGTCATTTTTTGATCCAATGATACTAATTATCCTCTATGCCTATACAGATGTTTTTTAAAAAGTCTTTTATATGGCACATTATCAAACGCTTTCTGAAATTCCATATATACCAAACCTACACCTTTACTTTCATTTAAATAAATAGTAACCTCTTATACAAATTTCAAAGAATTAATGAAGCAAGATTTTCCCCTATTAAAATTATGTGGACTGTCCAACAAAATGTTAAACATTGTTAAGTGACTTTGCAAATCATCTTTTATCACTTTAAAAATCATTTTTTACTACTAGTGAACACTAATAAGCCTATAATTATATGTATAGAAAATTTTTATTACTTTCCGAAAAAACAGAAATACCAATGGCCAACTTCCAGTCTCTGGCACCTAAAGGACTTACAAAAAATTAATTAGCTCACACATCCCAGCCTTAACCTCCTTCAAAACCCTTCAAGAAATATCTTGTCCATATACCTTGTCATTCTTTAAACTTCCAAATTTTTTCTTAACTATGTTAAAATTAACTTGACCTTGTTCAATCTTGTTTTCTTCTAGCAACTGTCCAGGATGTGGAATGTTACTTAAATCTTCATTAGTAAAAACTGAAGAAAAAGTTGAATTTAATAACCCAACCATCTCGTAATCATCAGAAATAATCCATCCATTATCATACCTCAAAATCCCTACTACTATTATAACATTTTGCTTAACCTTAATCTATTTAATGAAATCCTTATTGTTAATTTTTAAAGTTTCAGCCAACGTTTCTTCACTTTTTTGGTTGCCCAATATTTGTTTAACTCTGTTGATCTTTTATAATCCTCCAATCCCTGTTAATTTTATAGCAGTGAGTTTAAACTTCTTAAATTTGCAATGCTTTTATTTAACAAGAAATGATTTGTTTAATTGGTATTTTAGTATTTTTACATATACTTTGAAAAAAAGAAAAGCTAGAGGGATCTGATTTAAGGTTATGAAGGGAACTGGTACTGGTAGTGTCTGTGCTTTGTCTTTTTTTTTTACTTAATCAGTTAACCCATTAACTGCAGATGACGGATATTTCCGTCATTGAAGTTCTATGGCTCAGCTGCGAATGACGGAAATATCCATCAATCGCAGACATACAACTATAACTCTATGCAAATGACAATAATTACCATTTTATTGTGATTGACGGCAACTCAGTTTTATCTGTGAGGCAGAAAACAGCAACTGAGCTGCTCCTGCAGCAGTTAATGGTTTAATGGTAGGACTAGGAGACACATGTAATTAAAATATAAATTTTGGCATGGTAAGTGTTCTTGAGCCAAGACATGTTTCATTTTTCTAACACTGGGTAGTTAGCCTTTAAAATGGGTTACCGGCCTCGATTTCAAACGTGGTGGAAGCAGTAAATTTAAATTCAAGGGAGCATTTGATAAATATTTGAATGGTACAGGCTGGCTTTGACTTTGAGGTTTATTTTTGTTGTTTGTTTATTGGATGGGACAGTATAGATACAATTCCCTTTTTGTCATTAACTTCAAATGTTACATTATAACTTATAATTAACTTTTAACTTAAGTTAACTTATGGAACTTAAAGTACATGCTTCAATTTTGAAGTGGCACGCAGAAAAATATCTTTATTATGTAAATATTATTATTATCAAGTGTTTGAATCAAGCAATATTTGTATTCCAAGTTCTAATAACATTTCCAAAACTATCTAGTACATATTACTATTATAGTGTTATTATTATAGTATTAGTAACTAGTAGTAGTACTGCTATTGTGCTAGTATTATACTTATAGTATAAATATAATTAAAAATCCACGGTATAACTCACCATCTGTGATTTGTAGTTGATTGTTTTGAGCTTGTAAACTCATTTATAAAAATTACTTTATGCCTTGGCCAATGAACAAAATAATATAATATTAAATAACATAACTAATAAAAGTAATATCTCCCTATAGGCTACAGTATACTCGAAGCGCTTAAATAGAACGCTTCTAAGTTCTAGTTATACGCTGAAGCTAAGACGACCTCTGTAAATTGAATTTACTGTATTTATTGGATAAATTACTTATTTCTTGTGTAATTGAAAAGATATATTGTAGTATATAAATATACCCTGCGTTTCTATCTTACAGTAACCCACTGGTCCATATAGGACATATCAGCTCTTATCATTCAAATATTTGTCAAGCCCTCCCTTAAAGCTTTTTAAATTGACTGCATCCATTACATTCCAAAGGCCAGCTACCCAATGAAAAATATGAAACTGTCTTAGCTAAAGGTGACTACCAACCTGTAAAATTTATATTTGTGTCTTCTAGCCCTACCATTCTCACAATTAAGTATGAAAAATACGATGCATCAACACTATCAGTTCCTTTAACAAACTTAAATGCCTCAGTCAGATTCGCTCAAATTTTTCTTTTATCAAGAGAAAAAAAAAAGCTAGTTTAGAGATAATAATTTGTTTTCTTATGACAACTTTTCCATTCTAGGTATCATCCTAGCAGTCTTCCTCTGTACCTTTTCCACGAAATTCAATTTAATTTCTAATGTAAAAAGACATAGATTGAACACAATACTTCATATGTAGTCTAATGGACTTATAACTTTTTAAACTTGTATCCAATATTTATGTACATATAACCTTAAAATAAATAGTATTTATTCCGAATCTGTCATATATACTATATATGTGTGCAGATTTCATATAACATGTGGTCGTCAAAACCATCATGTTCATCTCGTTCTTAGCTGCTTTGTTCTTTTTTTCATTATCCGGAGTTAATATCTATTTTGTCTCTGGAGATGTATTACCGTAATGCTGCACGTTGTGCAAACATATCTATAGCGTTTTCATTCAATGGTAGAGCGGGTATTATTTCGAAGTTATAGCATCATTTTTGTTTAAATGATAACCAGTTATGTGAACCGCTAGTTGATTGGAGTAATTGTGCGACATTTCTTGTGAAAAAAATTGGATTTAAACAATATGGTAGAAAGTTTCATAATGTTACGACAGCGGAAGTCACATGACGCTGCTGGCGCATTGGCGCTGGTGGTGTATGCAAGGAGTTTCTCGAATGAGCGTGAATT